CTCGGCACGCTCCCTGCCGCGACGAGGGGAGGGGGGAAAGAAGCAGCTCCAGCATCGCCCCGTGCCCGCCGGCTCCGCGGTGCCGGTGGGAATGTCCTACCTATACGCCCGCTTGAGACCAGGCACGGAGGCGATGCAGAGGATCCCGGCGGAGCCGACGGACGTGGGCTCCTTACGGATGCTGAGCAAACAAACCTGCCCCACGTAACCGTCGCTGTTGCAAACCCAAACCTCGTGGGAGCTTTCCGGGCTGCCGTGGCTGGGAGAAGCACAAGAAAACTGCAAGGGAGCAGAAGATGGGATGAACTGGGTCATTTGGGAGTGACGCAGGAGCTCTCAGCATCTGGTGGCAAGCCCACCCGGATGGAGAGGACCACGGGTCCTGTGGGATGCTTGAACCCAACCACCAAGTACCTGCATCCCGCTCCGTGTCTTCATGATGGGGATGGCCTTGAGGAACTCCGGGTCTAGGCAGTTTTTGCTGGAAGCTGGGAAAGTCAAATTGGAGGATGAAGAAGTGATGGAGGAAAGGGGTCTACCAAAGCAGGGGTGTGATGCTGAGCCCACCACCGTGTCCACCCCCCCGGTCCCTGGTGTTACCCAGCTTCTTCTTGGCATCCTCAAAGGCTTGCTCAAAGCTGAGCCGGGCGTCGGGGTTGGGGAACTCAAAGATGAAGGACTCGGTGCCATCGGCTTTGGTGGTGCTGAGCTCCACCTTGTTGGGGGGAAAGGCCATGCTGAAGGACAGGGATTGCTTCTCCGCCAGCTCTCGGTGGATGGCAGCCATCAGGTCCTTGATCACATCGTCCAGGCTCTGGGAATGGGGACAACACTTCAGCTCGCAGGAATGGGCCACCACCAGCCACATGCCTGATGACGCCCCTGTCCATCCCCAAGCATCCTTCAGAAGCTGCCCCAACTCCCCTTGTGGCTTTAGGGCTGGTGGTGTCTGGGTCCTTAGAGGACACTCATGGCTACCAGCCATTCCACATGTTCTCCCTCCCGCTGAAGACATCCTGGGTGGTCCCATGAGGAATGTGTCCTGCCAGGGGACAGCACCAGGGCCATCATCCCATACCTGGTGGGGGAAGCTGAGGGTCTCTGACAGCTTGCTGACTTGCCCCAAAGTGCTGAGGTCTTCATCCAGGCGGCAGATGCTTTTCTGGATGCTCTCCCGGTTGGTGGCTTGCGAGGCACCTGCGTGGGGACACGTGCATGGTGTTAACCCCTTGCTCCCTGGCGCTGCGCAGGGGCACCTTCTCCAGGGGCGAGTGATGGGTTTTGGGGTGGGATGGGACACTCCAGCAGGCAGTGACAAACCTTTGACGATATCCACATCCTCCAGCGGCAGCTTCCAGAGCAGTTTGTACTTGCTGGCGGGGTCGATCACGCTGGCCGCTGTGTACCTGCAAGGTTGGGGGGGATGGCTGAGCTGCACCCACGTCCCCAGCACCCTAAAGACAGCCTGGCCGGTGGGGACAGCCCTAAAGCCGTGGGTTAATCGTGGTGGGTGCCCCCCAGGTGGTACTCACAGGCTCATGGAGCTGCGGCGGAGGGAGCCCGACTTGCGCTTCAACGTTGTGCACACCAGCAGGTCCGTGAAGAGGAAGAAGGAGCGATCCTTCTTCCCACCCACTGCCTTCTGCAGAGCGGTGGGAGATACCAAGGGGTTAATGTCCGCCTCCCCCCCAGTGCTGGGAGCGGTCCCTGCCTCAGTTTCCCCACATGCTGCCTTGGCACAAGGAGGCTGAGGGGTGGGACAAGTCCCACGCCACTGTCTGCATGGGGACCAGCTGCATCCTTATGATGGTGAAATGGGACATGGGTGCAATGGCCGTGCGGGCAAAGCCGCAGCGTCCCACTCGCAGGGAAGCACCAGGGCCATGGAACACCAGGCGTGGGCTCACCAGGACCCCTATGGTCTTCAGCCTGGCTTCTGCAACTGCTGTGGGCTCTCCTTGCTCCCTGCCTGCTCCCAAAGCCATCTTATCTTCCCACACACACTTGGGGAATTTTATATTGTCCCCATCAATCTGTCATTGATCCATCTGTCCATCCTTCCATCCATCCCTTCATCCATCCTTCCATCTGCCTGTTCTTTCCATCCATCCCTTCATCCATCCTCCCATCTGCCTGTTCTTTCCATCCATCCATCCATCCATCCATCCATCCATCCATCCATCCATCCATCCATCCATCTGCTCAGCCTTGAATCATAGAATCATAGAATGTCTCGAGTTGGAAGGGACCCATAAGGATCATCGAGTCCAGCTCCCTGCTCCTCACAAGACTACCTAACACTAAACAGTATGACTAAGAGCATTGTCCAGACACTCCTTGAACTGCCACAGGCTTGGTGCCGTGACCACTTCCATGGGGAGCCTGTTCCAGCAACCGACCACCCTCTCAGTGAAACACCTTTTCCTAATGTCCAATCTGAACTTCCCCTGATGCAGCTTCCATCCATCCATCCATCCATCCATCCATCCATCCATCCATCCATCCATCTGCAGCCTCCCCTGGGCACACAGGCATCCCATGAGCCGCAATCACAGTCTCTCACTGCCCCATATTGTGTGCGGTCCCATGGCCCTAATGGTGACAAAGGACCACCTTCTCTTACCACTTCCACGACCATCTCCTGGCGCAGGAACCTGCGGAGCGGGGCCTGGAGCTGTGGGGATAAGGAGGCTCGTGAGCGGGGAGCGCCAAGGGGAAAACCCTTATGGGCTTCACCCCAGCCCCTGTGGCCGGCCCCCTGGCTCAGCACTGGCACCCCAGCCCCTTCCCAACCCCCAGGAGCCCACCAAGGCCAAGTGATGATGGGGAAAGCAGGACCCGGAGGAGACAACAAGTGGCCCAGCCTGGGGTGACCCAGAAAGAGCAGAAATAGTAGCATTTTGGGGAGAAGGAAAGACTAACCCCATGTAAGACCCCCATACGTACGTCCTCCATCCCTTCGATGTGGGACTCGATCTCCTGCACGATCCGGGCATTCCTCTCCACCTCCTCTGCACTCTTCATGCCCTTGTTGATCCTCTCAGCCACTTGCTTGATGTTGCGCTGGGCATCGATGAGGAAAGGGTGGTCGGGGTGGTCCTCTGGCGTGTGCTTCAGCAGGTCCTACCACGGGGACACAGCTGGGATGTCACCACGGGCAAAGCCTGGGCATCGGCGATGCCATGACACCCCCAAGCCAAAGTCCCTACCACGCTGCTCTGGCTGCTGGGGATAGAAACCAGCCCCATGCAGGAAAGGTTTTGCAAAGAAACAAAGCCTTGAGCTTTGGCCACCACTAGCATGGTCTTTGCCACCTCTAAAGAGGCCACCAGCTCTAGAGAGGACATCATCACCTTGCACGGATGCCCAAAATTCATCACTGGAATTGTTCAAGGTCAGGTTGGACAAGCCTTTGAGCAACCTGATCTAGTGGAAGTTGTCCCTGCCCATGGCAGGGTGTTGGACTAGATGGCCTTGAAAGGTCCCTTCCCACCCAAACCCTTCTATGATCCTATGAAAGCACACCCCCACCAGCCTCAGCGCCAGGGAGAGTGACCCTGGCATGGGGAAACTGAGGCACAGAGGGGGTGGCAGTGCGACTGGTCCCAAAATAGCGCTGCTACGTCCAACCTCCCAGCAGAAAGGTAGAGGGGAAGGGGACCACACACCCATAGGGACATGCCAAGGGGGACAGCAGGGTGCTAGTCCTCAGGGTAACCATCCTCAGGAGGGCAGAGCTGCACGCGTGCCTGGGGACACCAACTTTGTGTCAAGACATGGGAAAAGCGGCCAGGAGAGACGTGAGAGCCCTAAAATCTCCTGTTACGTATTGGTGAGGAGGTGCCATGGTCTCACCCGCTGCCGGCGTGGCACCGATCCCCCTGCCTGCACCCGGCTGCCCGCACCCACCTTCACCAGCAGCTCGTATCGCGGGATCCTCTGCACCGGCTTGATCATCAGGTCGGACAGAGCCTGCTTCTCCTTGTTCTCCCGCATGCTTTGCTGCAAAACACCGGCGGGGGACAGGGATGGCCCCGTTAGGTGGGACACAGCAGGGATCGAGCCTCCCACCAGCCCAGGGCCTGGAGCAACACCCGTTTGGGGTTGGGGTGACTCCTTACACCATCCGGAGTGACTATGGTACATCCCAACCCTGCCTCTTTGCAATAGAGCCAAGAAGGTGGTAGGGGGAAAAAATGCCAGTCTGACCATAGGTTACCAGTTTACTCCCACTAACCCCGCCCTGCCCCACCACCAGCCTTGCAGGTGGCTCTGGACCTTGGCCAGCATCTACGGGAAGAGGAACCAGGACCCACCTCCAGGAACTTCATGAACGCCGGCCGGGCTTCCTTGGCGATCCTGACGGCATCCTTGGCGTTGAGAAAGTTATCGATGTAGGCAGAGTAGATGTTCACCAGCACGTCCTTGGAGAACTGGGAAGGGAAAAGAAGGGGGAAAAAAGGGTCCAGCATGGACCTCCCGGGCACACCTGGGAGAAGCTGCCCCAAGGGTTAATCCTGGCTCCGGGCTTGCGCGGGGAGGGCTCGTCCACCGCCCGCCCCCCTCAATTTTTCAGCCCTGACATTTCTGCTCCCGAGGCAGAAACGCCGAGCTGCAGACCCAGCCGGTCGCCGCAGCAGCCTGCCGTTACGCTAAGCAGACCGCGGGCCTGGAGATCGTCTCCTGTTCTCCATCTCGGGCGTGTTTGGCCTGTCCTTTAATCACTCCCCTGCCTCCTGCTCCGAAACTTCTCCTGCTGGGGCCGTGCCCGAGAGCGGGCGCGCCTGGGTTCCCCCCGGGAAAATCCGCCCTGCGAGGACCTACCGACTGCACGAGGAGGTCGCCCACTTTCTGCTTCTCGTGCCAGTTCTGCACGCAGTCGTGGATCTGCTCCAGGAACTGCTCGTGGTGTTCCAGCAGCTCGGGGATCTGGTCGAAGATCTCGTCCACCAGCGACGGGTCGCACAGCAGCGAGTTCTCCGGCTGCTTCAGCGGCTTCATGTAACCCTGCGGGGAAGCAAAGGCATCGGGGTCCCTATAGATTTCTTTTCCCACCCCCCCAGTATGAATTTTTCAACCCATGTAAATATGAGGATCGGTGGCATCCTGCAGCAGGGGGTTCCCCCAGCGAATGTGGGGTTGTGGGACCCACCACAAGGACCAGACATGACGGGTGCCAGCAGGTTTTGCACCCCCACCTCCCTGGGTCCCATCGCACCCGGTGTATCCCCATGGCAGTGTGGGGAGTGGGACAGGTCTGCACGAGGAACCCTCAAAGCGCAGCATCCTCTGTCCCCCAGCCACCGCCTTGAGAGGCTCCAAATCTTTGCTGTCCTGTCACCTCCATCTGCTACAGAGCTGGACCTAGCTGGGAAATCGTGGCAGCACGACCCTGAGATCCAAAAGCTGGTGCGTTCCCGATGGGATTTAGGATGTTTGGGACCAGGAGGGGCTGGAGCTGGCAGGGCATATGCGCTGGATCAAGCCCTGGACCACTTCGCCCAGCAGCCTCTCTTGGGCAATGGCCAACGAGCGATGCTTGGGCCCAGCAGGAAAAGGAGGTCCTCGGCAAGGCTGGGAGGGCCGCTCTGCTATGAAACCCTTTTCCCCCCTCCGTGGGGCAGAGCTGCAGAGAGGAGCAGTGCCCCCAGGAACGGAAGAGCTGGAATAGCAAGGGATGCAGGAAGAGGAAGGTCTTCTCAAGCCTTGCTGCCTCCTCTGCTAAACTGCTATGGGGTGCTGGTGTCCTTCAAGATGTTGGGAGGACCATGGAGCTGAGCAGTAAGGACAGGACCCACCTCGAGCAGCTTCAGACATCTCCATCCAACCTGGCAAAGGAGGAGTCATCCCCCAAGGATGAGGTTTCTCAAGCTGATGGTGGGTATCTCGTAGAGACCCAAGTTACAAGGGCCAAATCCTTCCTGAGGGTCCTAACCCACTTCACCTGCCCTACTGTGGCAAACACCTCCAGCGGGAGCTGGGCTGGGCCATGCATCCCACCCACCATAAAACTGGGGCAGCGTAGACCAGATGGAGAAGAAGAGCACGGAGACAGCCCCCGCCTCAGCACACAGGGAGAGCAGGCAGCGCTTGCCCATGCACCATCTGGCTTGGCTGGAAGATGATGCTCCAAGGCGGCCCTTGTCCCTGGTAGGGGACAAAGTGTCCACACCACATGCCACCGGGCCACGTCATGGATCCAAGCACCTTGTCTCAGCTGAGACAGGGAGCTGTAGGCATCTGGAGCCCTGTGACCCATGCCCCAGAAAGCCACGTGTCCCTGGTTGCACCGTACCAGGACATGTCCTATGGGCATGAGCTCAGGCATTAACGCCCCATGGCTCCCACCCGTGTCCAACCAGTTCCTCCCATGGGAACTGGTGATCCCCAGCACGGCTGTCCTCTCCAACCAAGCCTCCTGTCCCACCTCAGAGGAGGGCACAGCCCATGGGACATCCTCTATCCACGCTGAGACCAGCAGGGACACCACCCAACCCTGAACCTTGTACAGCTTCTCCCAAAATGAGTCCTAGAGCCAGGGTCCTCTTGCCCCTCAGAACCAACATCTACAATAGAAGCAGCCTCAAAGGGTCCTTCCCTCCTGCAGCAACATCTGGCAGAGCACATCTGGGTCCGCCATGGGGGCATCCTCGCAGGGGATTTATGGGAAAAGCCCAGCTGGGTGTTGGGGTGACGGGTGCCCCAGGCCCTCGTGGACATGCCCACTGGATGTCCTACAGGCACTGCTCCCTTTCGAGCAGAGCAGAGCTCTGATTTTTTGGTGTTTCCACCTGCAGCGATGTGGTTGGACAACCCACTGCTACGCCAGTGTGACCTAGTCTCCAGGGTGACCTAGTCTCCAGGGCGTTGACCACCATTAACCTTCTGAAACACCTTCATTAACATCTGAAATGTGGGGTGGACCCTCCGGCCAGGCTGCTCCATGGGGGTTGGAACCAGCTCAGTAAAAAAAAGGGAAGGAGAAAATCCCTTGGCCCATGGCTGTAGGTGACAACGCTGAGTAGAAAATGGGGGGAGATGGGAACGGGGTGTGGAAGGGGTTCCCTGTCACGGGATGGCCATCGGCAACGGCCCAGGAGATGGGGCACGACATGAGGAAGAGCTTTTGGGGACCAAGCATGGGAAGGGGCTTGGGGACAGGATTCCCACCAGGTGACAACCCACCAGGAATGTTATGGGCTTGATTTGGGGGACAGAGGTGGCCCCGCACCCCGCTCTTGACACGATTGCCACGCTGCTCCCACCGCC